TAAAAAAACCGAACCAAATAAAACCCCTCTGGATTTAGTAATGGTTAAATTATTTTTGCCTGTCCTGAAAAATGGAAAATTTTGTCATAATAGGATTCTTCATTGCATAGTAGCAATTGTCTACTAAAACCAAGAACAACCTGCCCTTTGGGACGAAGCAAGTAGACTCTGTTTGTTCCATGCTTGCCACTCCCGGTATGAATCAAGCATCCTTGACCTGAGAATCCAAACTGCTTCGAATTCTGAAGTTTTTGAGTACTGACCAAGCCATCACAAGTAGGAAATACAACATCTGACCTCATATAAAAGGTGCAGCCAGAATGCGGTTCACAGTTTTTTTAAGGTGTGAAAGTCAAGTACGTGGAGAACCAGTGAATTTCTGTGTTTAGACTTGGATCCCATGCCCAGGATACCTCATTATGTACTTGCAAGCATTTCAAAATCTAAAAAAAAGAACAAAGCATAATCTGACACACATCTAGTTCCAAGCATTTTCGGTAGTGATAGGGGACAGATGGGGGCACTTTTACATGATAAGAACACATTTATACTTCATATTGTGGAAGGAACTCTGTGCACAGACCATGTAAATAGCTCAGCTTGCACCCACTGCTACAGGTTTGTCCTGGGTTAACCTCTAACCCAAGTGATACTACTAGGGGAAACATGAAGCCCAGTATGCACCCCCAAGTGCACAGGAACAGATGATAACGAGGCCGAAGTGCAGAGATGCATTTTGAAAAGAATCTCAGAGACAGGCCGACCACCTGGACCGGAGTGGCAAGAATAAACTCTGGGGTAATTGGCTGTCTTTGTTCCCATTCCCTATAAAGTTTGCTATCAGGAGATGTGATTCAGGGCAAATTTTTAAGATGCGAATCTGCTGCCTTCTCAGATCAGTGGCTTTCTGAATAAAGCACAGCATAAAGATTTAATTCCTGTAGCTACTCATCAGCCATTTTTGCTGATAGGTAGTGTCTCGGTGAAGGTTTCTGTTGCTGCTATGGAAACACCAGGATGGAAAAGCAAGTTGGGGGAGGAAAGGGTTTATTTGGCTTACTTATACTCCCAGTCATAGTCTTGTCCTGAAAGGAGTCAGTGCTGGAAAGTGGCTGCAGGAGCTGATGCAGAAGCCGGGGAGGGTGCTGCTTACTGGCCGGCTCCACATGGCTTGCTCACCCTGCTTTCTTATAGAAGCACCAGTCCAGGGACCACACCATTCATGATGGGGTGGGCCCTTCCCCTTGATCAGTAATTGAGAAAATGCCTTACAGCTAGATCTCATGGAGGCATTTCTTTAACTGAGCCTCCTTCCTCTCTGATGACTCTAGGTTATGTCAAGTTGACACACAAAACCACCCAATACAAGCATCAAGAGCTGTGGCATGCCAGGTCCAGTTAAGAGACACTAAGTCTATACCTCCAGTCCCTTTGCTCACTTACTTGTTGTCTAGATCCTTTAGATAGTTTTGCTTGGAAGTCCCAAGTAAAATAATTTACACAAATTGGATCTAGGTTTTGCTCCAGTTAAGAATGGACCCATCTAATAATCAAGGTAGATTAGAACAGCCATAAATAGTTGGCCATGCTTACTTGCCTTTTTCATGAGCACATGTACTTACATTTTATATTTTCACATTTATGCATTAATTCAGTGCAATATTTTTTGAGCATAAAATATGTGCAAGGTTATTTCCAGTTCTATGTGTATAACCACACACATACAGTATAACATGTGTATGTTTTTTTTTTCCTACTAGGAAAAATATTTCCTAACTTATATGATGAAATGAAATGCACCAATGTTTCAAAATGTTCTGTCAAATGGCTATGAACTATGTTTTTCTGTCTTAACAAAATCACTGAGCTCCCAAATCCTATAGCCCATCAAATTCTCTATACTTGTTTATTAATCCTCTGTGCCCAAGAAAACTCTGAAAGAGGGACTGAAGAAATGGCTCAATAGTTAAGAGTACTTGCTGTTCTTGCAGAAGACCTGGGTTCAGTTCCCAGCACCTACACACTGGGTCACACTGTCCATAGTGCCAGTTCTAGGGGAACCAACACTCTCTTCTAGCTAGTGTTGGCACTGGGCAGCCATGTGGCCTCATACATAAATGTAAGAAAACAGTCATGCAATACATATGCCAATGCCAACAAACACTCATGCACATGAAATAAGAATCAACAGATCTTTAAAAGATAACTTGGAATGACCTACATTTTTTTTTTTTTTTCTGAATCAGCAGGTCGGCAATACTGGCTGACGTATTTCATTCCCTAATCTGACACCTGTAGGATTCTGGTACACTACTTTTCCTAGCTCAGATTGATCTATCGGCAACCAGATCACGGCTTCATACTCTCCTATAGCTGCCTCTCCCACTCAAGCAAAACTTAACCCTTTGCTTGTTTTCCACAAGCTTTCTTACTTACTCTACTTCCGTGACCACATTCATGCCCATCACACTCCCCCCTGCTCACCAGACAGCAGCTGCACTGGCTTCTTGTAGCTGTATTCAGAAAGCACCCCTTAATTCTTTATTTGGCCAGCTCCCTCTTTTTCTTTAGGTATTACTTTCCTGTCCTCACAGAGGTACATTCCAGTTATTTGATAAATTAATTGTTGTGTCTTCCTTTGACAACCAGTTTCCCATGTAACCCTGCTTCTTGTTGACTGCTCCACAGCTTTGCTGACCGTCTTCCTCCTTGAACATATTATCCATGAAGACAGATCTTCTCTCTGACTCATCTGAATACCTAGCTCAGCCACTTGTCCACCTAAATGGGTACCTGGTAGGTCAAAAATGGTTCTGAATGAATGAGTCAATGAATCCGATAAATGAAAACAATGCTTACCAACCCAAATAATGTTGATTAGCACCTAGCCATCATGCCTGTGCCTGAAATCTCAGCCCTGGAGAGGCAGAAGCAGGAAGATCTGAAGTTCAAGGTCATCCTGAGTTATATGAGGCAGGTGCTGTCTCTAAATGAATAAATGAGTTGATACACGGTATGCTATTGCATTTCCTGACATGCAGAGCTGTGGAGTACATTCCTAAGCCCCTGAGGTAGGCTGGGTGAATTTGAAGAATGATTGGATGGTTTTAAGTGCATTGCTATGGCTCATGGGGTTTTACGTTAGAGTCACATGAAAGCATAAATGCTCTTACCTAGTACATATCATTTTTAGTAGAAATAGGACCTGGCTGTAGCTCGGCAGCAGAGCCCTTGCTAACAGGATCTATGTTTGATCTTTAGCATGGCCAAACATATAAAATAAAATAAAATAAAATAAAATAAAATAGAATAGAATAGAATAGAATAGAATAGAATAGAATAGAATAGAATAAAATAAAATAAAATAAAATGAATGATAGATGCTTGTATTATTTTTTCATAAGGTAATAATTGCCTCCTTAAAAGTATTTCTGGCTCCAGGGAAAAACAGATTTATAAGGACACGAATAGGAAAACTTAAACCACTTGGAAATATTTAACCACCAATGTGATTGAGCAATGATTTTTTTTTTAATGATGCAAATTCACAATACTTGATGAAAGGAGAAATATATCACTTTAGATTGGCAGGCAGGAAAGTGAAGTAGATGCTATTGTTTGGACTACACATATTTGATATGCCACAAAAATGTACTTTTTAAAGATAAGCCTCTCCAGATACATGTAATTTAACTAGAAGAAGTAATACATAAAATCTTCTTCTCTGAAAATGAAGGAATGACTTGTTTTTAATAAATAATCAAAATTCAGTTTATGAGTCTGACTGAAAGAATATTTCAACTTATGTGGGAAAATAAGTATTCTCTAGTGAAAACATAAGGAAGGCTCAGAAGATTCCCACTGAGACCCACAAGAAAATTCAACAAGATTATGAAAAAAAAAAAATCATTATGAGACCTTTGTATTGTTTTTAGGAAAAAAAATGTTTTCTTGCTTTCTGAAACTAGTCTAAACCTGTCCTTATATCTACATGGAATTACAGCTTCTACTGAATGCAGAGCAGAAGAAAGCAATGTAGAGAACCGGGAGTTATGAATACAAGATCTTCAGATTGGCCGTGAATGCCAATGAATGTTAAACTCACACACCTTGCTAAGAATAGACTCAGCGCTTGGGTAACCCCTTATTCTTATGGATACTTTCAAATACATCATCTCATTTGGTTTCCAAAATAACCCTTGGAGAAGTCAGAATACATTCAGCAGGATTTTACTGATAGAGAGAGGTTAGGGCAGGCTCGCAGTCACTTAGGGCCGAGCGGAAGTAAGACAAAGCTGTCTGCCTGCAGTCTAACACCGCTTTACTCATGAACAAGGTCTCTCTCTCCATAGGGAGCCTCCTTTACTCTGCAGTTGCCCTGAGAGGCTCCACACGATTTTCAAAGAGTTTGCAAAGAAAAGCCTAGACCTGGAAAGGGATACCCTTTTACAGGAGGACATCCCGGGAAGGAAGGAGGATCTCACCCGCAGGTCAGGAGGACTCTCCTGCCTCCTCCTCACTCTGACGGTGGACATCAGAAATGAGGAAGTCTACGTTCTTGAAATTGCTGATCTTTGACTTTCAGAAATGACCGAAATAACAAGCCATAGTTTAACGTTGCCAATGAAAATTAAACTAAGATGTGTAGTGAGTGGGAGTTAGCTAGCTAAGAATGAGGCTGAGTAATACTGAATAGATGAGGGTCAGAGACAAGAAATGGGGTAGCCTCTTTCCGGGCTGTGTGTCAGAAGCATCTGTGAAGATACCGTCTCGTGTTTTGTTTGCATTTCCATTGACGGATCAGAAGCATAAGTGTTTTTAAATGTTTTCTTAAGTACCCCTCTTTGCTCTGTCAAAGTTTCAGAGTGAGTGGAGACCCGGAACTTTCTACGCACCTAGAATGTTGTTTTATAAAGACAAATAGATCTAGAGTGGGGATGGGTATTAACGAATGTGGATTTAGGAGAAAGATGTAGCAGAGTTTAATGAAGCTCCCAGACCTGCAGGTGTCCATGCCCAGGGATTCTGGAAGTAGCACACCTGATCCTCACAGCATCTGAGGATGTATCAGAACCTGCAAAGAGAAAGCCTGGGCCCAGTTATCCAAGTTTGCAGCCTCCACAGGGATCTCAGTGTGCGACTGGGTCATCAGTGCAGAGGGGGCCAAATTTTACTTAGTTTTCCAGCTGAGATCCTTGCTAAATGAAAATTACAGAAAGTCATTGTTTTGGTCTAAAGCCACTGCACTAGATCCTACAGATAGACTTAAAACCAAAATGGTGTTAGTTGTGCTAAAATTCTGTATCACCAAAATGCAAATACCTTATCATCTGACCTTCTAAAAAACAAGGAGAGCTCATACATAAATTTCTGGACAGACCAATGTAAGCACAGCAGGAAGGTTTTTTTTTTTTTTTCCTTGCATTAATCCTTACCAAAATGAAAACAAAACCAAACAAAATTCAACCCCATGCCACACAAGAAACCACAGAACTAAAAACAACAATAAGTCACTGGAAGTGTTCTGCTGTTAGTGCACTAGCTGTGTTCTGTCTCCCTGTTTCCTTGTAAGGAGAGAACTTTTGGAATGACATGTCTCTCCACTTTCATCAGCCCTTTTCTGGCTATAAAACCAGCCTGTTCTGCTCAGCTCATCAGAGCACTTATTGTGGTTTATAGAATGAAGTGTTGCCCGATTCTAGAATCACAAATAAAGCCAGTTAATATCCTTTATCTAAACTGTTGTAACTTTTCATTTTGATATACTTCAACAACAATAACAACAACAACAATGAAGGAAATAACCAAAGAAAAATAAAGTTCAAAAGCACCAATGCCTGAAAAAGAAACTGTGAACTGTGGCTTAGAGTTCTGGCTTATAAATAGCATCAGTAAAGAACAAAATATTTTTAGAAAAGGACAGGGAGAGATGCTGTGTAGAAATGTCCTCCAAACTGAAACAGTCTATCCCAGAGGGATGCTCTTAAACTCAGCGAGTTTGGGGGCCGGAGAGATGGCTCAGCAGTTAAAAGCACTTACTGCTTTTCCAAACAGTTCAGCTTTCAATCCCCATGTCAGGTGGCTCACAACTACTTGTAACTCCAGTTCTAGGGGATATGTCACCCTATTTAGGACCCTGCAGGTCCTTGTACATGTGTGTTAGACACACAAATACTTATAATACACTTCTATAAAAAATAAATATAAAAGACCCAGAAACTTCTAAAGGGAAGTTCATTAAGACTCAAGAAATAAACAACTCAGAAGTCTCAGGGAGTCCCTGAAACTGGCCAGATTTATAAGGTCCCTCCATACCTAGGTTATACAAGCAATAAGCTCTGCTGCAAAGACATTCCCTTATCTGTTAACTGAAAGTGGTGCAGAGAACTTCAGGGTCCCAGCTTTTGTGAGTTGTTACCCATGCTAGGGTGGGCTTTTGGTGATATAGTTGCCTTCCAGTTGTCCATGTAAGTAACCCCTAACCCATATGCCTATAACTAACCCCAAGAAAACTCATTGATTCATCAAATTGGGCTTTTGTGATGTCTTTACTTTGTTCTGTTGTCAGTCCCTGGTATAGGTGGCTGTTTATACCTCCGCAGGAATAATGTTGCACAACAAAAGGGATTCTGTGGAGACTGAATTGTGGAAAAGTGAATGTACAGGTGGAAATGAACGCAATAATATTTTGATTTTATTTTATTTTAAATTGTTAATATATTTCCCCATTGTATCCTCCTAGAGTTATAAGCAGTTGTGAGCCTCTCTGTAAGGGGGTTGTAAGTCACATGATCTTCAGGACAATGGTATAGGCATTTTTATCCTGAGTATGCTTACTGTTTAGAGAATGGAGGGAGAAGCCAGGCAAGAAGAAAACACTAAATATTGATAAAGTCACCTAAAGACAGTTTCTATATCCAAATCAAATACTGTCATCATAAAGCAAAAGCTATTGCATCAAAGTTACAACTGGACCCAGTACAGGTTTCTAATCAGATAATAAAATGAATGAAATGATTATGTGGTCTTAGTTTGCTCCATGTCCTGGGAGAGTTGAATGGGTTGTTTATCATGTATACTATATCTTTTGTGGGGGGTAGGATTTATCCTTCTCGGGTTCTCATTGAACAATTAGTGTTTACTGCCAACTGCCTTCCTAGTGTTACTGTCAAGAGGCAGTTTCAACCTGAACCATTTCCAGGGCACCTAAGTGGCGCCCCACTGATTGGAAGAAGCCCAAACCCCTCTGAAATTGGAAAGTTTTTGGTACTATTGTTCATTTTAAACTACTATCCAACATATTTAACAGCAAAATCTACCACAAAAGCATTCAGTAAATTAATCTAGTCCGACTGCCAGGAGAGTTCTGGTGTTAGCGTATTTTCTCCCCTAGGGCACCAAGGCTGGCTGTTCATCTGCCATTCATATTAAAGTGTTTATTGCCAACGACATAGCTAGCTTTAGGCAAATTGGAAAGTAGCTGTAGTTCATCCTAAAAGTCCTACCTTCTGTTCATGTACACTTTCCCCACTTCGTTGGAGAAGTCTGAGTTGTGTTCAGCCCCAGAAATACTCACATATTCATTAAACCTCAGCTCACTCCAGGAATGATTTCTTATGATATCATTGAACACCGTTCACCTGCCATCACTCATAAATGACCAGTCTTTATTGGGGCTGACCTAGCAGCAATGTTAGAGACAGCCTTTTCCTCTTTGTTAATTTACATTGTTTTATCACTCAGCGGTCTCCTAGACAAGTCCCCGGGCTTTCTTCTACCCTCCTGGCAGCCTTCAGCCTTTTCTCGGTCCTCTTCCTCTGTGTTTCCAGTTCTTTCATGCTTTTAGCATCATTGGTTTCCGATGCCTAAGCATTGTATCTCTTCTCTTTATTACTGCATTTACTCTTGTAATATACTCATCCACTCTCATTATTTAAGATATCATCCATTTACCAGTGACCTCAAATTTGTATCTCTTGTGTGGGGTTTCCTCCTGAATTCTAAATCGACGTATCAAAGTGCCCCCTTGAAAGCTTCTGAATGTCTACTAGATATCTCCAACTTAAGCTAACTGAAATTGAACTCCTTGTTTTAAAGAAAAAAAAATCTACTATTCCTGAAGTCTTGTCCATCTACTTGAAAGACATTTAATCGTTCCAGCTAACCCAGGCAAAACTTTTTCAGAAACCCTGGAATCCTTCTTTCTCCCATCATCACTCATCTGACTTCAAAATACAGCCAAAAAGCAGTTACTCTTGGCTATATTAAATTATCTTGTGTGGTAGAAGATAGCTTGGCACATTAAATTTTTAAATAATTCATGTGATCAAAGATATATGTCATGAATTACACAGCTACAGACGGCTAGCACACTTCATGATTTCATTAAAAAGGCATAAGGAGAAGACTTTTGTAAAATAAATGAGGAGGTAGTAAGGCAGAGAAGTTTTGATTGGCGACTTTGGCCTTGTCCGGCATTAGATGGTAATTTTGAATTGGATGATTATACCAGTAGAAAGCTTTCCATTAGAATTGAGTTGACAATTCCTAATTGGTAAAGAGCATTACGGTGGGTTATTTCAGTCTGATTACTTAAGAAGCCAGGACTGTGCAGCTTCTTCAGCCTGGTGGAGAAGCCCAATGTACTGCGCTAAGAAGTGCTACCACATTGATTGCACTGCTTCAGATCCTCTGTGACTTATTACCATAACCCTGTAGCTATATTTTCCTTATTTCTACCTTTATCCACTGTCTTGGCTTAGGTTCTTCCAATAGCAAGTCCTTAGCAAGGATGTGAGTATAATATCCTGAAGCACGTGTGCAGGGAGCATTGTAGAGAATGACACAGAGGGATGGGGAACGGGGGAAAACTGACTTACAGATTTAATGTTCACAAGCTGATTCCTATTGTAGGTAACTGGAGATTAGTCCTGGTGAGGATCCTTTGATGAGCATGGAACTGTATCTCTGAACTGTGCCATATGAAAATAAAGAATGTTAAGGTAATGAACTCAAGTGATCAGGTATTTCCAAACAAAATTTAAGTGGCCTTTTTTGAACTAACATGGCTTCTTAATCAGGGTGTCCTAGATCTGAGAATTTATTCTAATCTAGACACCATCATGATTTTCTACTGCAGTGGCTGGTACTAACTATTTTACTTCTAACTTTTAAATGTTTTTGGTCATAAAAATCAACATTTAATTGCTATTGGTGGCTTATTAACCTAACTCCAAGAAATACCTTTTTGGGTAGGAAAACAATTCCCCCCAACAGATTAAACTTCACAGAAAGACTGTTGAGCTTTCTAAAATCTTAACTAAAAAAAATTTCTTAGTTTAGCATACAAAATAATTATCTTTTTAATGACATTTTCAAATGTATGTGTCATTATACTTTGTGTTCATTTGTTTTCCTTTTCCACTTTCCAACCAACCAGCATTATATATTCCTGTTGGCCAAGTTTCCTTGGTTACTATATGCCCTGTGTCTATTATATTAATTATGTCAACCTCATTGCTAATTATAAAGTGATGACACCTGGGTTCTGTTATTCTAAAATCATATTATTTCATTATTACGAGGCTGTTCAATTTTATAGCTATCTCTTTTGCTGTTAATCCTGGTCAAAAACTGACATTTTCACCGTTTGTTTCGTACTCCTGCCATTACTTCCTTATGGGCATAGCGTTTATAATTTTAGTAGAGGTTGCTACGTAACAGAATCAGCTGGCAGGTTTCTGATTAGAATGAACACGTAATGAACACATCTCTTTGAGCCTCAGGACACTTTCCTCAAGACTCTGCCAATATAATGCTTTTTTTTTTTTTTCACTACAGACTATCTTTACCTTCAAATTTCAAGGATTCATTCCAGTAGCATATGAAAATCGCTTCCAGGCACTCTTCTGTTATGCTCTGAGTCAAGAAGAGGGTTGACTATCAATAGATTCCTCTTACCAAGATCACACCCACACATACACATACACATGCAATATTGAGGAGGACTGTGTTATTCACTCAGTGTATAGACTCCAGTGCCAACCTCTCTCCGTAGTATCTTCACAGTCAAAATAATTTGTCTGAATCCTTTAGCCCAGTGAACTTGACACACAAAAAAATTAATCGTCACATAAGCTAGCTCAAATATCTTGCAGATAATTCATTACTCTGGGTTACACACACATACACACTTCCTGCCATAAAGATATTAATTACAAGTAATTCTGTAATGGAACTGGTGGAACTCACTCCACCAGTCATTTAGTCAATGACTTAATAACTTCTCCTTTCACTAATGTCTGATAAGCCAGACAACTAAATATGTAGCCCTCTTCATCCTGGAAATGTGTCTCTTTCAGATCCTATGTCTATCCTCTTTCTTCTGTTAGAGTTTTTCCTGCCAACATATTTTTGAAGACAACATGATGCTTCACAGGATTCTGTTATTAGTGGAATATCCCTACAACAGATCCGCACATTTTCCTACAACAGAATTCTCCTGAGCTAGCTTCTGGGAAAAGAACATTTTCTCTAGGTACTATATATTCTCCAGAGAAAATATTTGTCATCTTAACAAACCATTTGTCAACTTGATTTCTTTAGGCAGAATGAATGGAAGGAAAACACAAGATTTATAAGTGGTTCTCAAGTTTAATTCATCTTGGGACTCAACCAGTCACTCCAGGATGAGCAAGTATCTGGATACAGGAAATATTTCTACTTCTTCCTCTTGGCATCCTGCTCACCCTACCCCATTTCCCAGTGTAGAATTTTTTTCTGTAGTTGTGCAGAGTGGATAATCTGAATTTTTATTAGCTCATTACAACCACCTGGGGACATAAAGTTGCTTGTTAGAATAGGTTCAAAGTCTCAGCTGGGTCCTCAATCACCCCAGAGCCAGAACCTTCATCTCCATGCTCATTTCCCTTCCCTACCTCCTACCGTCTTTAAAGCTATACTTTGGAATGTCAATCTCTATCTCAGGTTTCTTGTAAGTAAGGGGAAAAGAGACTGAGAAGACTTTTAGACCTAGCAAGTCAAATCTTCCTTCTCCTTCTTCCTCTCATATTTCCTGGTCTCAGTTTCTGGAGGAGAAAGTCACTTTTGCGTTGTAGGTATACTCCGAGAGGCCTTCCCTCTGGTAGCGAATCTGTTTCTCCTTCTGAAAGAGAACTCTATACTCTGCTTTGCTTGGAATACCAAGTATTATAAACTGACTGCTGTGTCTCCTGAAGTTTATGAATCCCTGTCTCCAGTAAGGTGGCCTTGGGCAATGTTTGGAGTGTCTGGAGTGTGGTTAGTGTCTTTAAAAGAAAGACATTCAGAGTTTGGGTTCACTGTCTACTTTCTAGCAGTGAGGTCCTAGTGAGAAGACAGTCATTTGCAAACTGGAAATTACACCTACCATAATTGGAGCTCTTGGTACTTGGACCTTGGACTTCCTGGATTCCATAACTATGAAAAAATAAGTGTTTATTGTTTAAGACTTCTGTTCTATTTTAGGCTGTTAGAGCTGCTCTAACACCCACCATGGGATTAATTTTAGGTGGGTTACCTATCCTGTTGCCTATGGATTAGTTTAGGACCACCTACCTATTAGGGAGTGCATCCTTTTGAGGTTTATTTTTCTTTTATTTGAGAAATATTATTGTGGGGAGATGGGGGACTAAATTGTGATAAGTGACTCTAGCTGCCCGAGTTTGAACTAGAACTTTCCTGCTCAAACTACATTCTAGGCTGTGTAATCTAAGAATAGCCAAATCTCTTTCGTTCCAAATTTCCTTTATTCAGACCTTAATTTTGTAAACTTCTTTCTCATATTGCTTCTGTCTCATAGGAAACCTGGCTGCCTCTTTAAGAACAAAATCTGACTGTGGATTCCTCATATAATGCTTAGCAACTGGGATTCTTTTTCTGATATGTTTGAAACCATGTTAGTGCAATTGCTATTCCTAGCACAGAGGAAGGTACCTCATTTCCTTATAATTGAATACTCAGAATTGAAATACTAGTTCTTAGAAACCCTGGTATTCTTTGATATCTGAATACCCAGATATTTGTTTGAGGTCACAGCAGACATTTGAGGCATAAGACTTTGAATAATTTTGAATGGGTACATCTCCAGAAACAAAACAAAACAAAACAAAACAAAACAAAACAAAACAGCAAAAAATCCACAAACAGAACAGAATATTGCAGAGTAGCCCATACTAGCCATGAACTCATGATTCTCCTGCCTTAGCCTCTTTTAATTTTTTTAAATTTTTATTAATTACAGTTCATTCACTTTGTATCCCAGCTGTAGCCCCCTCCCTATGCCCTCCCAGTCTCACCCTCCCTCCCTCTTCTTCTCCTATGCCCCTCCCTCAGTCCAATGATAGGGGAGGTCCTCTGCCCCTTCCATCTGACCCTAGTCTATCAGGTCTCATCAGGACTGGCTTCTTTGTCTTCCTCTGTGGACTGGTAAGGCTGCTCTCCCCCTCAGGTGGAGGTGATCAAAGAGCAACTGAGATCATGTCAGAGATGATCCCTGTTCCTATTATTGGGGAACCCTCTTGGACACTGAGCAGCCATGGGCTACATCTGTGCAGGGGTTCTAGGTTATCTCCATGAATGTTCCTTGGTTGGAGTATCAGTCTCAGAAGAGACCCATGTGCCCAGATTTTTTGGTTCTGTTGCTCTCCTTGTGGAGCTCCTGTTCCCTCCAGGTCTTTCTATCTCCTCCTTCTTTCATAAGATTCCCTGCACTTTGCCCAAAGTTTGGCTATGAATCTCAGCATATGCTTTGATACCCTTCTGGGTGGAGTCTTTAGGAGGCCCTCTGTGATAGGCTCCTGTCCCATTCCCACTTTTCTCCCTCTTCCAATGTCTGTCTCATTTGCCTTTTTGAATGAAGACTGAGCATCTTACTCAGGGTCCTCCTTCTTGATTAGCTTCCTTGGGTGTACAGATTTGAGTATGATTATCTTATATTATATGTCTAATATCCACTTGTAAGTGAGTATATACCATGTGTGTCTTTCTGCTTCTGGGATACCTCACTCAGGATGATCTTTTCTAGATCCCACCATTTGCCTGCAAATTTCATTATTTCTTTGTTTTTAATTGCTGAGGAGTATTCCATTCTGTAAATGTACCACAATTTCTGTATCCGTTCTTCAACTGAGGGACATCTGGGTTGTTTCCAGGTTCTGGATATTACAAATAAAGCTGCTACAAACATGGGTGAGCAAATGTCCCTGTTGTATACTTGAGCATATTTTGGATATATTTTTGGATATATGCCTAGGAGTGGTAAAGCTGGGTCTTGAGGTAGCACTATTCTTAAATGTCTGAGAAAGCACCAGATTGATTTCCAAAGTGGTTGTACAAGTTTTCATTCCCATCAGCAGTGGAGGAGGGTTCCCCTTTCTCCACATCCTCTCCAGCATGTATTGTCACTTGAGTTTTTTATCTTAGCCATTCTGATGGGTGTAAGGTGAAATCTTAGGGTCGTTTTGATTTGCATTTCCCTGATGACTAAGGACACTGAGCATTTCTTTAAGTGTATCTCTGCCATTTGGTATTCCTCTATTGAGAATTCTCTGTTTAGCTCTGTACCCATTTTTTTAATTGGGTTACTTGATTTGTTGCTGTTTAACTTCTTAAGTTCTTTATATAATCTGGATATTAGCCCTTGTCAGATATAGGGTTGGTAAAGATCCTTTCCCAGTCTGTAGGCTGTTGTTTTGTTCTAACGACAGTGTTCTTTGCTTTACAGAAACTTTTCAGTTTCATGAGGTCCCATTTATTGATTGTTGATCTTAGAGCCTGAGCTGTTGGTGCTCTGCTCAGGAAGTTGTCTCCTGTGCCAATGAGTTCAACTGCCTTACCCTCTTGAATTCTGAGATGCCAGGTATGTGCTAGCATATGTCCAGTCTAATATATCTTTAAATATTTATTTACTTTTTAGGTGCATGAATGTGTCACC